CTGATCTGAGAGAAATGATGTGTGGTTCAATGAGAGGATATGCCTTTCGCCTGAGAAAGAAGCGGACATTTGATTACTAGGAAATGGAAAAGGGCAGATTAGTTGACAACATGGAGAAAAGACCAAGGGCATCACAACATGTCCTGTCAATTATAAAGCCAACGGTGTGTTTTGGCCACGCAGGAGGCAAAATGCATTGTGAGATTCCTCAGTAGGCAGGCAGTTGGGAGGAAAAATGTGTGCACAGGAGGAGACGGGGCTCCTTTTAAACCAGGAAGGATGTGCTGGGAGAAGAAAGAAGCGCTGGAGAAAAGGTAGGTGGAAACAGCTCATGAAGAACCTTCAGAGTGAGACTAACTGTTCAATTTAGTAAATATTAGCAAGGTCAAGCTAGTATAAGACTCACATAATTTAACTTAACCTAGAACTCTGATGTGCATAGAGAATGTAACTATTTGTTTAGTCTAAAAGGAGTATGGGTTTCCTGCCCAAGTCTCCATCCAGTCTCTGGTGGAGTGCCTTCCATGTGCCAGACACTTTGTGTTGAATTCTCATAACAATCCTGGGAAATAAACACTGTTCCAATCATTTTACAGAGAGGTCAACTGTAAAATGGATTATTGTCAAAGTAAACCTCTTTTAATGAATTTTCTTTAAATTCTAAAAATGTGTCTGAGATCAAGCTCTCTGCCCAGCATCACAGGACTCGTAATTTGTGGACCCAGATTCTGAATCCTTGTCTAACAGAAAAATGCATGCTGTTTCCTCTAGACCTAATAATGAAATAATGTGTAGCAATTTATGGAATCTAAAATATCAGTTGTAGGATGCTCCAATAATGTACATCCCACTAAAAAAGATGCACTGCCAATTACATCATCACATATGACACCCACTAATTTGTAAGATGAATCCTGATTTCTGAGATGTCAAAATGGGGGGAAAAGCATGCCTCTTACAATGATTGAAATCTGGTCAGTATTATTTAAGGAAGATCATCTGAGCAGCTGTGAACAATCTTGACCAGAACATACAAACACCCCAAGGTAAGGTAAGGTAGGAAGAGGTTGCCACTGTCATTCAGTGCTAAGAGAAGGAAGCCTGCTAAGAGAAGGAAGCTGCTAGGAGAAGGAAGCTGCTAAGAGAAGGAAGCCTGAGTAAAGAGAGACCCTAGTGACATGGAAAGAGAAGGCAAACTTCTAAGAAACATGTTGACAAAGGTAAGGGCACTTACTGAACATTGGTAAGTCAAATAACCTATCACTTAAACGCCTTGCTTTTTTTCTGAAGCCGTGTGTGTTCTCTGCTCTGAGTGGGGCTGCTATTCTTTCCATTCAGTTGTTTCCCATCTCTGAGCAGTCAGCCTACATATTTATTACACACAGAATTGAAGGTCTGAAGCATTTTCATTAATCATCTTAGTTGAAAAGTAAAAAGGACATACTAGAAAACAGACTGCCACGTAGACAGATAGATAAAAGTATGTGTAATTCCATATCCTATCAATTTAGTTTAATAAAGATTTAACTAAATAGCCTACTATGTGCCAGATATTTGATTAATCATTGGGAGAAGATGAATAAGACACATCCAGTCATGATAATTTTATGATCCTACAGACAGATGATGAAAAAGTTTACTTAACCAGGTGTCTCATTGTCTCCCCTGCTCTAGTCCCATGGTAGGCAAACTGTGGCTCACAAGCCACATGCAGCTCTTTGGTCCCTTGAGTGTGGCTCTTCCACAAAATATCACGGCCTAGAAGAGTCTATTTTGAAGAAGTTTAAGTTTAAAAATCTTGGCTCTCAAAAGAAATTTCAATCGTTGTACTGTTGATATTTGGCTCTGCTGACTAATGAGTTTGCCGACCACTGCTCTAGTCCATATCATGACCATTTCTTACCTGAATCACCTTTCTACTTCTGCCATTCTTCCCCACCCCATTCTAGCACCTCACAGAGCTTGTGTGACTCTTACTCATAAGTCATATAATGTCACTCTTTCTTACTCAGTAAAATTCTAAGTCCTTTAATCTTGGCCTATAAAGTCCCATATGATCTGACTTTGATGCCACTTCCTACAATAATTTCTCTTACTCCACTTTGCTTGGCTTCTTTACTGTTCCTGGAATATTCTAAACATGCTCATCCCTCTGCTCCTGATGCCCACACCCAGCACCTTCTTCTCTAATGTTTCCACGACTTGCTCCATCACTTTCTGCAGATCTCTTCTCAAAGGTAGTATTATTACTGAGTCCTTCTCTGGCATGCCTTACCCCCTTATAACTGCTTTACTTTATTAGAAACATTTACTGGGGAAAAAAGCATCTATTAGCACTGAAATTTATTTGTTGTTCACCTCTTCTAACAATATTGGTTTGCTCTTGTATTTCCAACACTTGCAATGTTGACTGCCATGTGGTCAAGGGTCAACAAATATGTCTTGAATGAACGGATGAATGATTAGGAGTTATGCATAGGATTTTAGGGGAGCAAAGGGAAAGGTATAAGGCATATTCTGGGAGAGATAGGATATCAGAGAAGTCTCCCACATCAAGTAATATTGGGCTGAGACTTCCTTCATTCACATGTTCATGCATTCATTCATTCAACACATTCGTATGGAGTTTTCCTCTGTGAGAGAAACGATTCTAGGACCAGGAATATGGCTGCCACAAAGGCAGACAAGTCCCTGTTCTGTGGAACTTACACTCTACAGGGAGAAAGACAACAAATTAGTGAATGCATGAGCAAACAAGAAAAAAAATTCAACATTGACACATGCAACACAAAGAACTAAAATAGGATGACAGAAAAGCATGCCTAAGTGGTTACTTTAGATTGAGTCATTAAGGCAGTGACATTTCAGTGGAGACATGAAGGACAACAGGAAGATGAGCAGATGAACCATTCCATAGAGAGAGAACATCAAGGGCAAAATCCTTAAGTGGGAATGGGCTTCAAGTGTTCAAGGAGCCAGATGAAGGACACGTATCTGCAGGGCAGCAGGCAAGAGGAGAGGGCATGACTTAAGATCAGATAGGAAGAGTATTAGGAGTAAATAGACTTGGGAGGTGATACAAGGGAAGAATCAAATTGAAAAACACTGTAGGTGGCAAGGGGCATGACATAGACTGGGATGGTTGAGTAACTCAAGGAAATTAATTTCTCCTGGGTTCACTGCATAGCCAAGGATGGATTCTAGACTTCTGTGTGGGTAAATTGGTTTGTTTTTCTTTCCATGAAGCTTCTGGAAATTTTGTTGCAATTGAAAAGAGAACCATCTCTCTAGAAAACATATGGTCATAGAGATCAATAATCTACCAGAAAAGACCATACCAAGATGTGTATTCTTAAGAGGTCCAGTTATTATATTATTTGGGCTCCTATTAAGCTTAGAAGCTGGAAAGCCAATGCAACCTTGCATATTTTAATTTAAACATAACCTGAGACCCACAAGTTGTCACCATCCCCATTTTAGATACTGAACTGAAGGACTGGCAGGTTAAGTCACTCAATGTAGACAGTTGGGGCTCAGTTCCGAGTCTGCTCTGCTCACCACTGTTTGCACTGCTGTCCAGCATCTCATCAACTGATTCATTGCATCTGCCTCGAATGATCTTTGCCATCCATTTACTCCATGAATCTTCTTGCTACAGTTTTTCCTTTGGCATTCTCGTCTTTTCCGGTGCCTGCTTGTGATTTAGAAAATATATTTCTCTGTTTTTCTCCTCCACTAATCCTAATCAATACCATGTTTTATGGAAGGTGTTCTGTAGCTCAAAGACTTCCTCCCTCTACTGGCAAAAATGACACAAACCCAAACTCCCTCAATGATGGGATTAATATACTTGCACACATTTCTTCCTTGATAGTAACAGCCCCCACAGTTGTCTTTGGGAATCTTGACAGATCGCCATTTTTTTTTAGAGTTGCGATAGTATTATCAGCAGAACCAGATTCCTCAAAAAAAGTAATGCTAAACTTACAACAAGAAATCTAATTGAGGTTCACAAGTTATCAAGAAAATGATAACTACTCAATATGTACTAATATGTCAGAGCCCTGTGGCTGACTAATTACTCGTATGTATTGAGATTGAAGTAATCTGAGATATTACTTTATGCAACATAACAGAAGGCATCATGAAGTCTAACAAGATACAGTATACATGATCAGGAGGAAACAAATGAAGGGTGAAATTTCCTTCCACTAACAATGGTGCCCCACAAACCTCTAGTGCACATTCCTCACTTAACAATGTAAATACATAGTTAAGACCTAGCACTGAGGAATGAAGATTTCCAATGTAAATGAGGTTGCAAAACAGTCTGCCTAAATGTTAATCTGTGGCAGGAGTCATTTCTTTTTTCAATTTTTGGATGTCCAAGAGATCCGAGTTTTCAAGTGCTTTTCTATTAGGCGGCCACATCAATGATGTCCACAGATGCTAGGGTTTCATAATGTTAGCAATGATATGCGCACTTACTATCGCTTGTGTTTTCATAAACTTTAGCAGTTATTTTTTTTAATTAATTTTTTTTTTTTTTTTTTGTAAATGGCAAATTCCAGAAATGCTGAAGGCAAGACAGAAGGCAGGGACTGGCTAGACTGCTGAATGGAAATAGCTGTGAGAAAGTTGATCCCAATTTTTCAGATGCCAAGCACATTTTTAGAGACCAGAGCTTAAAAGCATGTGCTCAACAACCTTCACCTTTTTCAGAATAGTGAAAATTATCAAAAAAGCACATAAACGTGGTTAGAAGAGAAAGACAAGCCGATCACAGGCAGGGTCCAAGAAACAGCATTAACAGTGCAGAACATGGAAAATGACAAAAAAATTTATCTAGATTTTCCAGTGTTTCTTTTTACCCACACTTAGAGGAATTTCTTCAGGACTTAAAATTAGTCTTAAATAGCACCCACATTGTGACAAGAAACAAATACAAACAGCAGTTAATTAGCTGACACAATTAAGAATGAAAATAACATCAGAGTTACCTGAAATTCTAATCCATAATTTTCTCTGCAGAATTCTCTCAATTTAGGATACACATTTTCTCTTAGTGCCTGTCTTTCTGCTCCCGTGTCTGTAATAGAAAAAAACAAAAACACACACATAGAAAGTGAATTATGTCCACATATAAATATTTCTGGGGGAAAGAAAGCTTACAAATAAACATTAACAATAGTATGTTAAGCTGGGGTGCTGCATTGTGAAACAATGGGGTATTTTAATGGGGGCGGAGGGGCTTGCTCTTCTCTGAGCAGGGGGAGCAGGCACCCACAAGAAATCCATCAGACAGATGGGAGCACCACTGCTCACTCCTGTGTGTGCTGCAGAGCTGAGAATTCACAGTTGATCTTTTTAATTTTTTTAAATTCCTCACCCAAGGACATGGGTGAGAGGAAGAGCGAGAGGGGGAGAGAGAAACATCGAGGTGAGAGTGAAACATCAACGGGCTGCCTTCCATATGGGAATGGAACCAATGACCTTTCAGTGCATGGGATGATGCTCCACACCAGCCAGGGCCACAGATGATTCTTTATGCCCATGTAGACCCTCACATGGTGCTCTTAAATAGCCATACCCCACTGTCTTTGGACAAGGTAGAAGGAAAAATGACAGGACTATCAGCTGTTCTAGCCCCAATAAGTATAACTTTCAAAACACACACACACACACACACACACACACACACACACACACACACACACACACACACAAACACACAGCTTAATCTAGTTTCTGACTTACAGAAAATCTAGACTCTATCACCATTTCCTATCGTACTTAGACATACTACAACTTTTTAAAAAATTAGGACAGCATCTATGCAATCAGCACTATAATTAGGAAAGACAAATTGTGGGAGCCAATACCCCAAACTAGCAGATTCCACAAACTGTACAGTCGATCAACCAGTGTTAAACCGAGTAATGTCTCCCACCTTGGATTGAGGGACTTCAATGATATCAGAAAAGGGATTGTTTTACAGGTTTCACAGCTTGGAAATAAAATATTTTTTTATTTTCCATGTCATCAAAAATGAAAGAAGGAACAGAGAACCAGGAACCAGAAACAACATGTGCTGTGTATGCCCTTCATGGTGAATATTTGGCACAGAACAGGATTCCACAACCAGTGCTGGAAGATGTTTTGCAGCAAAGATGACAGTAAGATTCTTACAGTAGAGAAGCGGCTCCTCGCCCAACAACCTTCAGTGCAAGATGAGATGCGGAGCTTTGCAAAGTGAGGTTAATGTGGTATCTCATGAAAAGTACCATTTTCTCAATTTACCTCAAGCCCAGCCATAACAAGGAAACATTTGTCTACCACCTTTATAGCTGAGGAACCAATTTAAAAGAATTTCCTTATTATTCTCAAGCAGAACTGTCCATGCAAATTTGGCCAGATGCTGTGTTAACCTGCTCGACTTTCCCCGCTGTTCTGAAGCCTGTTTTGAGATGTAAGTAACCAATCTCCAGCGTCTGCAATGCAGCTGCAGCCTGACAGGGTGTCAGGAACCAGTGTTTACACTGAAACAAAGATTCAATACAAAGTCTTGCAGGTTATCCTCTGATCCCAGTTTAGGGGTCTTTCCAACAGCAACTCCTGCATGGGCCTAAGTTCAAAGGAAAGAAGGTGGCCCAAGCTGAGGACTGACTGGACATTTAAGCATTGCCCACACGCTGTGATGGCATTGGTGAAGGCAGTATATTAAAGTTTAAAAAATGTTATTGATTTTAGAAAGAGAGAAAGGAAAGGTAGAGAGACAGGGTTGGAGAGAGAGAGAAAGAAACATTAATTAGTTGTTTCCACTTATTTTTGTATTCATTGGCTGCTTCTTGTATGTGCCCTGACTGGGGATTGAACCCATAACCTTGGCATATCAAAATGACGCACTAACTAAGCTACCAAGACAGGACTAAGCTACCAAGACAGGGCCTTAAGCTTTTATGATTTTATTTTATTTTATCATTATTTTAAAAATATATTTTATTTATTTTTTACAGAGAGGAAGGGAGAAGGATAGAGAATCAGAAACATCAATGAGAGAGAAACATCCATCAGTGCCTTCTGCACACCTCTCACTGGGGATGTGCCCACAACCAAGGTACATGCCCTTGACCGGAATCAAACCTGGGACCCTTCAGTCCGCAGGCCAATGCTCTATCCACTGAGCCAAACCGGTTAGGGCAAGCTTTTATGATTTTATATAATTTATAAAATCTTGGGATCAAACGTCCATCCTTCCTCACCCCATTTTAAGTGATGAAAGCTGACAGTATTCAAACATTCTCTCTAAAAGGCAACAGATGTTTAAACCCAAAATAACAACAACAAAAGGATCACTATAAAAATAAACACAATCAGATGTGGAAGTTGGGAATATAATTAAGCAGGAACTATTGTTGACATTTTTTTGAAAAGTATCAAAATAACACATGCAAGAATATGAAATAAGGAATAGAAATTATTTGCTTCTTAATTTTTTTTATAGTAACTTTACCACCAGATACTGAGACCTGAATGTGCATAATGAGGAGGTAAGACAGAAATAGTTTATAGTTACTGATATTTACTGAGTTCTTAGAGTCTACTTGTGTGCTACACATTTGTACATGCATTTTCTTAGTCACTTCTGACAACAACCCTGATACAGGTAAAATTGTTCTTCCTTATTTTTTTAATATATTTTTTATTAAATTATTATTTTTGTACATATACAGAAAAATAGAATAGTTAAGATACTTACCTAAGGTCAGCCGACCACTAAGAGAAAATGAATTGGAATCTAAAGAGTCATGTCATAGTTTGCTCTAACCATGGAAAATATACAACTGTGCAAAGAATTAGTCTTTGAAAATGATAAATGTGGTAACTTCATAGAATGGTTAGGGGATGCTGAAGTCCTTATGAAACAAATAAAACCTGCCACTGAATGGATACATCCATCATCAGCCAACTCATCAATAAGCTGTCTTTATCCTCTAAGCAAATCCAGAATGAGTCTACTTCTTTGCACCTCTGGTGCAAGGCCAAACTCTTCTCTCATTCAGACTCTCCCTCCCTATTTCCATACTTGTTCCTTCAGGCCTTATCCAGAGAGCAACAGACTGATCTTTTAAAAATGTAATCAGACCACATTGCTATCTTGCTTATGTCCTGTCCGCAGCTCTTCATGGAAATGAAGTCTACACTCCCTACGTTGACGGTTCTCACTCTCCCTGAGCTCATCTCTCACCACGTTCCCAGTTCATGTCACTCCCGACTGGCGCAGCTTTGGCTCCAGATTCTGTCACTTGTGGCCTTTGCTCTAACTGTGACTTCCTCCCGGAACACTTAGTTCTTAGTTCTGTGACCACATAATGGCATCACCTATCATTCAACTGTCCACTTAAATGCCACCTTCTCTACAGCACCACTCTCTCTCATATCACTCTCTCTACATGCTTTGTACATTACTACTCATCATGACTGTTGGTATTTGTTTGCTTACTATCTGTATCTCCCACTGCAACGGGAGCTCAAAGGGAATCAGGACCTTCTTTTGTCTCATTCACTGCTGCATCCCCAGTGATTAAAGTCCTTCTCAATTAAAGAATGAGTGAATGAGAAAGCCCACACAGGCACAGTGACAAAAATGACCTGACAGGCGATGCTTCCCTGTAATTACCTCCAGAAGGAGAAAGGTTTCCTTGATTCTGAATAAATACAGAATCAAGGCTAAGTGAAATGCTGTGAAATAAAGCCATGGGATTTAGAAAGTTGGTTTCATGAGGTAAGTAAATAAATTGCAATATTGGCTTCTTTTTCGTGTTTCTGGAAGAATAGGAATACACTTTACCAAGTTACGGTGACCCTATCTTAAGAATGTGAAGGGAACCTGTTCACGTATTTGAAAGGCATTTCTGTTACTAATAATGTTACAACAATGACTCAGAGTGTCCCTTATATTTTTATTAGATAATGATTGGCTCTGGAAATGGAACAGTACTTAAGATAGAATGGATTAATGATGATGGGTGACAGATAAGCTGGCTTCATTACATAAAAAAGCCTGATTCATAACGATAGCAAACCCGGATGTTGGCAATTGAAAAACACTAGAATGTCAGGAACAGGAAAAATTAAGTCACAAAATGTCACCGACAAAAAGGAACCTCTTTAAAAAGAAAGGATCGAAGACAAGATATGTCATCATTTACTCTTTATACAGAGTCATGCATCCATTTGTATCTGCCTAGCTCCTTCATGCTTTGAGAAAAGGCACATTAGCACTTTGGCAGCACGGTTAGGTTCTTCAGGAGTTGCTTTCTAAATAATTCCTCAATGATTTCAGAGTTAATGAAGGTCTCTGTCAGTGCCTGCGCTACCCCTAGGAAGAGCATTCCTTGGGGGAGAAATGTTAATATCATCATCCTACTTCAAGAAGGGTCTGGGTTAATTCCAAATTTGTATTAAAAATAAGGGTGCCCAAGTGATCTTGTTGGTTTGGAACCTCTGACTGTCCCTCCCTCATGCAAAGTTAAGGCCATGGACAACAGACTAAGTCTTTTCCTTTGTGGCAGCTCAGAAAATTTATTTAGGATCCACCACACACCCTCATTGCTGCAGCTTGGTCTGCAGGGTTCTACACATTTGCTCTTGCTGGGTTCTCCCTCTTTACCTGGAACCCTTAGCCAGTCATGCATCTGGACACTTACCTGGCTTTTGTTGTTGTCTGGGTTGATTTCTTTTTTGGCAGCTTCCCAGAGGCTTTCTCTTCTCCCTCTAAGTCCTCTGTGCCCAACCACCCACAGTCACCCGTCCTTATTTCAGTATCACTAACTCCTGTCAATTTAATCATAAACATCTTTTGAATTTGGCTTCTCTATTTTTTGCCCTTACCGTCTCTGAACCTGGAGAACCTAAAAAAGACTCCTTCTTCATTTCATTATCTGTCCCTCCTCATCATGACAGAACATGAACTAATTTACTCATTGAAGATGGATGTTGGCATCTGGTGGCCCCGAGGATAGGTGTTCAGCAGGTGTGAATGTGTGTTCCAGCTAAGTTCCATCTTCTGCTTTTCACCAAGTCCCT